CGGTGGACAGGTGGAGACCATCGGCGACGCCTACATGGTGGCGTCAGGTGTGCCCAACCGCAACGGGAACCGCCACGCGGCCGAGATCTCCAACATGTCCCTGGACATCCTGCACTGCATTGGGGCCTTCCGGATGAGACACATGCCGGACGTCAAGGTCAAGATCCGGATAGGCCTGCACTCCGGTGAGCACGCGCGCTCCTGCTCCAGACAGGGGGCGCTCCTGAGTGGCCTGGGCACCCACTCCACTCACCCTGACACAGAATCACCGAGCTGTGGCCAGATATCCTGAAACACAACACACAGCAGTAGTTCGCTAAATATTCCCTGTTCCCAGACTTTAATCCCATTTCCAGTCTCTGGCAGAAGCAGTCTCGCAGGAATTGTTTTGCCAGTGTCTTGAAAGACATCACACGAGTCTAACACAGTTGGATTGTACTTCTTTTTCCCCGAGTCCAGGAGATTCCATACGGATATCGGAATTTTGCAGGAATCACTCAAAGGCGTCAGTGCAGCAGCTCCCATCTTGATTCCTGTATTCCCTTTGACTGCATCAGCAGCGGGCTGCAGGTGTTACTGTGTTGTAAAGATCAGATCAAGGCTGGAGAGTTCAAACTAATACACATGTAGCCCCAGGAGCGATGAGCTACAAAAAAGCCTTTGATCTTTAATCAGTGTGTATTTGTCTTTCTGTCTCTGTGTGTGCCTGTGTCTGTGTGTGTGCATGTCTGTCTGTCTGCGCGTGTCTGTGTGTGCGTGTCTGTCTGTGTCTATCTATGCATGTCTGTATGTCTGTGCGTGTCTGTGTGTGCGTGTTGGTCTGTGTCTATCTGTGCATGTCTGTCTGTCTGCACATGTCTGTCTGCGCGTCTGTGTGTGCTTATCTGTCTGTGTCTATCTGTGCATGTCTGTATGTCTGCGCGTGTCTGTGTGTGCCTGTCTGTCTGTGTCTATCTGTGCATGTCTGTATGTCTGCACGTGTCTGTCTGTCTGTGTCTATCTGTGCATGTCTGTATGTCTGCGCGTGTCTGTGTGTGTGTGTCTATCTGTGCATGTCTGTATGTCTGCACGTGTCTGTGTGTGCCTGTCTGTCTGTGTCTATCTGTGCCTGTCTGTATGTCTGCGCGTGTCTGTGTGAGCCTGTCTGTCTGTGTCTATCTGTGCATGTCTGTATGTCTGCGCGTGTCTGTGTGTGTGTGTCTATCTGTGCATGTCTGTATGTCTGCGTGTGTCTGTGTGTGCCTGTCTGTGTGTGTCTATCTGTGCATGTCTGTCTGTCTGCGCGTGTCTGTGTGTGCCTGTCTGTCTGTGTCTATCTGTGCATGTCTGTATGTCTGCGCGTGTCTGTGTGTGTGTCTATC